AATCATTCTAGTGATCAACCTGCCCACATGGTCTGGCCTCACCTTGCATCACCTCTCTTCTTAGCTGTGCTCCAGCATCACTGGCTTGCTATCAACTCCTCAAAACACTGTACATCCCCCAACCTGACGTCATTTACATTATTCCTTCTTGATACAATACTCTTTCCATCTTCACACCTACCTTTTTCTACTTGACTCTTATCTTTCAGTCTCATCTCAAACATCACCTCTTCAGAGAGGTGGCTTGTTCAGCTGCAAGACAGGGAGGGATATACCCTTTGTTACACACTCCTTTATATTTCTTCCATAGCACTCATAGTAAGTGGGCATTACATATATTGATCCACTATATTATTAATATTTGTCAACCCCACTAGATTAGAAGTAACTTTTCCAGTCTAGATCATTATATCCTTGGTGTCTAGCACAAAGCCTGACCCATAGTAAATACTTGTGGAATGAATAGATGAAAAATTGTATTGCCCAATGATGACTGAGGCACTGTCATAGTACTCTGAAGACTGGATTAAGATTACACATGAGTTAAAAGTCAAAAATGTTGGGTGGCCCTGAGTACCTCCTGACCTTACATCCAACCACCTGGTGACTCAGAAGTGGTAGGACAAACCCCACCTGCTTCCTACCTACATTCATCTTTAGGCACACAAACATCATTTTCATCTCTCCAAAGCACTTTCTTCAAATAGGCTTAAATAGGCCTAAATATGACTGACTAATTAATCTCCAAATTTTAAACTGACAGGAAATCTAAAGTTATGAATACTTGTAGAATAGATCACATAATAGTTAATAACAAATGATTTGTGACACCACTTATCAAGCAGTTCAGATTCTATTCCAAATGCAGTCATGAAGACAGGATAGTCCTATGTCTCTCTTCATGTTAGTTCCATGGTCCACCTCAGAGAAGCCAAAGACTGCACAGACCAAGTAAGCTATGATATCCCCTTGCACATGAGGACTTGGAGTTGTGTCACAATAATAGATAAAGTGCTGAAACGTTTTTTCCAAATTGGTCAGAGCCATCTCACAGCTACAAAATCTGATTTATAACCTCCTTTTTGTTAGCATTACCATAAATAGCACATAGCAAGCAATACTTTTGATTGTGATCAAGTATCAGGAAACAACAGAAAAATATATCACTTATACAATTTCCTTTAAATACATTCTTATTTCCATAAAGTTTTCCCATTTTCTCTCAATCCTCTGTATTTATCCATAGCTTCAAACACTGAGGAGCCTCATTGGAACATTCACTAAAGTTTTACTCAAGATTAATTAAGTCTCTGCCTGCATGGTTATAGCCAACCCATACATACTGGATGGTTGGACAGTTCTTGAAACCTGAAGTCCGCTGAGTTGAGTTAGCAAACTTCCTCTGGTCCTGTTTAAATATCACTTAAAAAGCTGAAATATTTACATACCAGTATTAGCCAAAAGATGGATTCACAAAGAATTCATTAAAGAATATAAATCCATTAACTGGAAGTACATCATTTAAATTGTGAACTATTTCTCCACCTACAGGACTACTGCATACACCAACAGAGAGTTCTGCTGATGCTATGAATCAAAATGTGAAAACAATGTTTATTTTTAAGAGACTTAGGTGACTAGCGGCCTGTCTGATCAACAATCATCCATCCAGAAGATTTCAGCCACTTTTCCCTTATTATAATAGTTACCACATCAAGTATTAAATTATTCCACATCCTAATGGATAACACTTTCACTTATGCCAAATAACATTTTCAATAGGTCTTTAAAACTGCTTTTCCTATGTTGAAGCTTTCCAGTTAATTTCAACTAATAATTGATAACTCAAAAATCTAAAACCAGCACAAATAGAGTACTTGTTATTTGTTAATGCTGCTTTTAAAATAAGCCCTACTTTTAAAAAAATAGGCAACTTCTTAAAGATTTTTCATTTTAAATTGAAGAAGCATAAAAGTTTCAACCTGGTTTTCTGAATCATGACAAAGTGCCAAAGGCTCAGGCAGACACATGTACCATTATTCCACAAGGAACGCCTGCATACATGTTGTCTCTGTTTTGTTGTCATAGTAACAAGAACATTTGTAAACACATCCCAGGTAAAAGGAACCTGATCAATCAAAACATTCTACTGGCTAATCTTTCATTGTAGTTAGACAGCATGATTTTATTACATAATAATATACACATAGTAAATCCCTTTAAGTTCCATGTTTAATAGAAATATAGAAATATTTTTATCTACTTTAATGGTATTTTTCCAAAGGCCTCCATAAGGATCTAACCATTTAAGAATCAGTTACATTCTAAATTTGTAATATCATTAATATACTTACATTCCTAAAATTGTCCCTGAATCAATTTCACATCAATTTAATCATAAATATCCTCATATGAATATATGTAGTCTTTCATAAAGCCAACCACATAAAATAAAGTCACCATAACAGGAATATTTATGCCAATAAGCAAATTTTGTTTTATACCTGACCTATTGTCAAAGCAAGAAACACAGACCATTTTCACAAGGTTCACCATTGTAATATAACATTTTCCTACACATAAGAAATATACTGAATATTTCAAACCTAGTGGTGAAAAAGGATTATGACACTTGAAGCACACTACCAGTATTAAGTGGATGCTGGCAAATCCTCTTCATCTTAAAATAAAAATGGACCATTCTCATCATGACTCCCTAGTATCCCACAGAAATTCTGTCTAATAGTGAAAATGATATCAATTTTACTCATGTGGAAGGCATTTCTGTCTTGATAAATTATTTGGTCTATATCCTAAAAATCAAACTAAATCTACCCATTACACAATCTACTTAGTTAAAATTTTGCTTTGGCAGTCTTATAAAGTGAAAAGGTGCAAGACATTTAAATTATAATATGTATGTAATATATGTAAAGTATATATTATTTTTATCTATGTAGTATAATATATATGCAAATATTTCAAGTAATTTGCTTTGCTCAAGGACAAACATCACCAAACATTACTATATCACTGGAGGAAATGTTTCTAATAAAGTTAAATGGTCCTTTTCTATGAGACTAGATCATTGCAAATTTAATTAAAATTGATCTTATTAATATTTCAAGTAATTTCTGGGCTTGATTATGCACTACAAAGAAAAACTGTACTGAAGAGGAAAGTCAATAGCCTTTGACTAGAGCTCAGAGCATGCTTTAAAAAAAAACCCCAAACCGACAGTTCTCTTGCGAATTACCGAGGTCTAGCCTTTGGGGGTAGGAAAGAGTACCAATATTTATTTGGAGGTAAACTGAGTTATTTTTAAAATGGAAAAAAAAAGGAAGGAGAAAAAAATCAGTTCAGATTTTCCATTCTAAATGTAAGTACCGGAAACAAGCCTTTTTATGTTCATTTTAGGCCTAAGTAACTGTGCAGAGATTAAGGCTTTCACAATGTCAGTTGCACACGCGGCTTCCTGTGCGAATTCTAAGCCATTACAGGTGTCCTAAAGGCCTCTGGTGAAACCTATTATCAGGGGATTCCTCTGGTCCCCCGAAAGCTATCCTACTGCCCTCCACCCGGCAGGTATGATTGCTCATCTCCTCCAACTCTCTTTATTAAGGACCCTCTTCTTTTCTCTGCGCCGCCTGGGTAAAAGTGCCCAGCTGCCCTCAGCAGAGCAGGTAAAAGCTTTCTCATTAGAGAGGACTAGTTCCTGCAGTCCTTTTTAGTTGGATGCTTTCAAGTCAGAGAGAGGAGCCACTTGAAGAAAACCCTCCTTCCCTGCTTTTCCCCACTGGGAGCCACGTCCCCGAAGGACAACACCAAGGGGGCACTTCCTGACCTTCGATCCCCTCATCCCATTTGCTTGGAGGGCTGGGGTCTCGTTTTCTGCTGTCCTCCGCGGCACTGGATGTTATGTAAGAGGGACAGGACGCGGAGGCACATGCGTATAGAGCGCACCGATCTGCGATAACAGCTGGGGTGGCCCCCCAAATCCATTCCCACCAATACATCCCCTCTCCAGGCATATCCAATCATTCCTTCTATTGTGCTTATGATAAGTTAGATGTTAAAATGTCGGTCTTGCTTCTTAAATTATGAATTCTTTAAGGTCCAGACAATGTCTTAATAATTCTAGTAATGTTTTCCTTCACCCCTTCCAGTACCAGACGCACAGAATGGAAAGGCGGGAGGAGGGGTGAAGGGAGGTGAAAGAGGAGCAGAGGCAGCAGCAGCACATCTGCTTTGATAGCAGCCGGCAGAGCCGCCGCGGCAGAGCCCCTCGTTAACCCCCTTCCTGTGGCTGCACCACGTCATGGAACATTCCCGGAACGGGCCAACGTTCCACCCACTTCAGGGAACAGACATAAAGGCGCAGACCCAGCTCCCCACCGTGCACAGCCCCGACACACATGTCCCTGCCCGGTCCCCGGACAGGCGCACAGACCAACACGCATGCAAACCGCCCCCCCCGGGCTCCCCGCGT